AATTAAATACTTAAATCTTTTTGCATGTACTGAAATTTTGAATGCTGGAAGACCTTTAATATTTGTATGCACTGACAAAGGCTGCAATAAAGTATTGAAGTTTCACAGTTCATTGTCGATCCTGTGTATTTGAAGAAGTCAAAACTTCATTATTCAAGCCTCTATTACATCAAAGAACAATTTGGTAATTGCCGGAAATTTTAGCTGACAAATTCTATAATGATCGTACAGCTGCCACCTAATTTAAATATTATACAGCTCAATGATAAGTGTAAACATTTAGATAATGGAAACAAATGCAGAAATTAAACTGATATTTTTTATCTTTGCTAAATATTAAACATTAAAAATATACATAATTCATAAATGAAAGATAGGTTGCCAGGCAACGAAACATACGCCCACAGCAGCTAAATCGTCCGGGCAGTCAACAAGAGTTGTCGCATATTTTTACTTTTTCGGTAATGAAACATTTATAATACACTAAAATCTGATTAATAGCAACAACTCACGAAGTAATTATCAGAAAATTATTAGAATTTTTTTGGTTTTTATAAAGTTCTGCCCCATGCTAACGTTTTGTATGCAAAGCTGTGTTGGGGGGAGGGGGGGAGAGGTGTATTCAATGTCTAATTACGGGTCTTAATACGAAATTCCAGATATCATGCTACATATCAGTAAGCACATTCGCTGCTGTTTTCAAATATATAAATAATTTTCTGGCACATTTATATTTACTTGCCTTGAGAGGTGATCAAAGACGAACGGTACAAAAATCTATTAAATGATGGGGGGGGGGGGTATTTAAAGTAAAAATACGGGTCTTAATACGAAATTCCATACATCATGTTACATATCACCGAAAAGCACATTCATATCTCTTTTCAAATATATAAATAATTGTCTGGCACATTTATATTTACTTCATAGTTCCCGCGGCTTCGTCAAACATTTTTTCAAGAATATTCAAGGATAAATATACGTCAAATTCAAGGATTTTCAAGGACATTTTTTAGCCTAAAGTTACAATTTTTCATCTTAAAAATAATCAAAACATTACTAACTATCGTTATAATCTCATATTTAAAAGGAATTGATGACATTTGAAACAAAATTAAAGATCTCAACTGAAATTCAAGGATATTTTCCTATTTCCGCGAAATTCAAGGATATTCAAGACCTTGAAAATGAAATTTTAAATTTAAGGATATTCAAGGATTTTCAAGGACCCTGTACTTACCTTGATAGATGATCAAAGACGAACGTTTCAAAAATCTATTAAATGATGTTGGGGGGAGGGGGGTATTTAAAGTAAAAATTCCAGATACCATGCTACATATAAGTAGAAAGCACGTTCACTGCTCTTTTCAAATATATAAATAATTTTCTGGCACATTTATATTTACTTGCCTTGAAAACTGAAAAAGGGGGGGGGGGGTATTTGAAATAAAAATGCGGGGCTTAATCCAAAATTCTGTAGATCTATACTGAAAAGTAAAGTTAATCTTCTCTTGAAATGTATTTATTATATTTTCGGCAGAATGCTTATATACTTTTTCAATTAAAAGAATAAAAGTGATAAAGTTTGGTTGCCTTCATTGGCTGAATTAAAGATAGTGGTGGGGGTGGGGCGAGTGTTTAATCTTAATACGAAATTCCAGTTATTGTGTCATACATCACCGGAAAGTAGGTTTCTATGGCTCTTTGAATCTACTTGTTATTTTCTGGCACATTCATGAGTACATACATTAGACAAGATAAAAGCATTTTTATTTTGAGCAAAGAAATGGGTTACTAAAAATAGACTACTTTCAATTCATTTTATCGAAGGCTCGGATTAGCCCATAACGAGCACGTGATTTCACTGAAGTCATGGTCATCCAGCGAATTTGTAAGTGACGGCCAGCTTGATTCGCAGTTAGGCCTAGTGAAGGGTGAGTATTCTTAGTGAAGGATGAGAAAGTGCCAGCTGACTTGATCTCGGCCTGGGACAGTGTCACAGTGTGAGTGCGACAGCAAAATTCCTAATCATATTCCTATCAGTATCACGCGCAGTACGTTGATCCGGCTACTCTAGGGTTAGGGTTAGTAGTAGAAATCTTTTGAAATCGTGTGGAAGTCAAAAGTAGCCGGGTCAACGTACTACATGTACTAGTACTTTGACCAGAAAGTAACACAGGCCCCTATGGCGCTATTGCACTTTCGTATCTCTACCAGTTCCCGTGGTCATAGGCACTTGAAATTTTCAGAGGATGTTAAGGGGGGCTAGCAATGACCACACACCAAATTTCATCCAAATCGATAAATAACTTTTTATTTTACCGACCTTTTAATTTCTAACAAGAGAGAATTTCATCCGTTTGACGCCATTTGCTTTGTTTACTAATTAGACTTGAATAACAAGACACTAAGACGGAAACCGACTCGAATAACAAGACACTTAGACGGAAACCGACACACTGCACTAGCTGCCTAACACTGCAGTTCATAAAAATTAATATAATTTTCGTATACTTTAATTTTTGCGCGAAGCCACCATTTTCTATAAAATACTATTTGGTGTTGATCAGTGGATTGGCCTTTAGGTGTAAATATTGCCGTGACCTTGATTTTGACCTTGAGGCCAAACTTCCCATCCATATCGGGGCCTTTGCGTTTATGCTTGCCGTGGCCTTATTTCTTACTGTATTATCAAAGTTAATGTTCGAGGTGAAAGCAGAGATGACGTCCTTCAGAAAAGATAATTGGGTCAAAGTCGTAGGTCAAGGTCATGTTACAGAAAACTAAACTCAAACTTTTCAAAGTCATTTTTGGGACATTTGACCTTGACTTACGACCTTGACCCCGTAACCATTTTCGAAGGTTATCACATTGGCTTGAATCATGAACGTTTAACTTGGTCCTGTCGCACACTGCTCGGTCAGAAAACGGTCAAACGCAGAGGGTCCGTGTCCGAAAGGAAGTCAATGGGCGTGGTCAATGTGAAAGGTCGTGGTGACCTCCACTAGTCACCGTTAACCATCCGTAACCTTGACTCTGACCTTGAGTCCAAACGTCCCATCCATCTCGGGCCCTTTGCGTTTATGCTTGCCGTGGCCTTATTTCTAACTGTATTATCAAAGTTAATGTTCGAGGTGAAAGCAGAGACGACGTCCTTCAGAAAAGATACTTGGGTCAAAGTCGTAGGTCAAGGTCATCTTACAGAAAACTAAACTCGGACTTTTCAAAGTCAGTTTTGGGACATTTGACCTTGACTTACGACCTTGACCTCGGAACCATTTTCGAAGGCTATCACCTTGGCTTGAACCATCAACGTTTACTTTGGTCCTGTCGCACACTGTTCGGTCAGAAAAGGGTCAAACGCAAAGGGCCCGTGTCCGAAAGGAAGTCAATGGGCGTGGTCAATGTGAAAGGTCGTGGTGACCTCCACTAGTCACCTTTAATCATCCGTGACCTTGACTTTGACCTTGAGTCCAAACTTCCCATCAATCTCGGGCCCTTTTCGTTTATGCTTGCCGTGACCCTATTTCTTACTGTATTATCAAAGTTAATGCTTGAGGTGAAAGCAGAGACAACGTCCTTCAGAAAAGATAAATGGGTCAAAGTCGTAGGTCAAGGTCATGTTACAGAAAACTGAACTCAAACTTTTCAAAGTCAGTTTTGGGACATTTGACCTTGACTTACGACCTTGATCCCATAACCATTTTCAAAGCCCATAATCGTGGCTTGAACCATCGACGGTTACCTTGGCCCTGTCGCACACTGCTCGGTCAGAAAACGGTCAAACGCAGAGGGGCCCGTGTCCGAAAGGAAGTCAAAGGGCGTGGTCAATGTGAAAGTTCGTGGTGACCTCCACTAGTCACCTTTAACCATCCGTGACCTTGACTTCGACCTTGAGTCCAAACTTCCCATCAATCTCGGGCCCTTTTCGTTTATGCTTGCCGTGACCCTATTTCTTACTGTATTATCAAAGTTAATGCTTGAGGTGAAAGCAAAGACAACGTCCCTCAGAAAAGATAATTGGGTCAAAGTCGTAGGTCAAGGTCATGTTATAGAAAACTGAACTCAAACTTTTCAAGGTCAGTTTTGGGACATTTGACCTTGACTTACGAGCTTGACCCGTAACCATTTTCAAAGCCCATCATCTTGGCTTGAACCATCGACGTTTACCCTGGCCCTGTCCCAAAAATGACTTTGAAAAGTTTGAGTTTAGTTTTCTGTAACATGACCTTGACCTACGACTTTGACCAATTATCTTTTCTGAATGACGGCGTCTCTGCTTTCACCTCGAACATTAACTTTGATAATACAGTAAGAAATAAGGTCACGGCACGCATAAACGCAAAGGGCCCGAGATGGATGGGAAGTTCGGACACTAGGTCAGGGTCAAGGTCACGGATGGTTAACGGTGATTAGTGGAGGTCACCACGACCTTTCACATTGACCACGCCCATTGACTTCCTTTCGGACACGGCCCCTCTGCGTTTGACCCTTTTATGACCGAGCAGTGTGTGACAGAACCAAGGTAAACGTCCATGATTCAAGCCAAGATGATAGCCTTCGAAAACGGTTACGGGGTCAAGGTCGTAAGTCAAGGTCAAATGTTCAAAAAATGACTTTGAAAAGTTTGAGTTTAGTTTTCTGTATTATGACCTTGACCTACAACTTTGACCCAATTATCTTTTCTGAAGGACGTCGTCTCTGCTTTCACCTCGAACATTAACTTTGAAAATACAGTAAGAAATAAGGCCACGGCAATCATAAACGCAAAGGCCCTGATATGGATGGGAAGTTAAGACTCAAGGTCAAAATCAAGGTCACGGCAATATTCACACCTAAAGGCCAATCCACTGATCAACACCAAATAGTATTTTATAGAAAATGGTGGCTTCGCGCAAAAATTAAAGTATACGAAAATTATATTAATTTTTATGAACTGCATTGTTAGGCAGCTAGTGCAGTGTGTCTGTTTCCGTCTTAGTGTCTTGTTATTCGAGTCTAAATAGTAAACAAAGCAAATGGCGTCAAACGGATGAAGCTCTCTCTCGTTAGAAATTAAAAGGTCGGTAAAATAAAAAGTTATTGATCAATTCGGCTGAAATTTGGTGTGTGGTCATTGCTAGTCCCCCTGAACATCCTCTGAAAATTTCAAGTTCCTACGACCACGGGAACTGGTAGAGGTACGAAAGTGCAATAGCGCCTATTTGTTATCCATGCGGTTGAACAAGAGGAACACGAAATGATAGGGGAAGACAAATACTGCTTTAATTCACAATAATAAATAAAATTTCTTTACTTTCACTTACCTCGTAACCAATCGACAACCTGATTTGATGTCCAGATCTCAAACATAATGTAATTTGCGTTAGCCATTTTTATTTTCTACAATATGTCTATGGGAGGTAACTCCACTTGTTGATTAACTTTGGGGGCAGACCACTTTTAATTAACACCACATTGCCAGGTTTTGCTCATAAATATTCAGAATTACTAGTCTTAACGCATGAAAGCTGAGATGGGGAATTTTCTCTACAATGACTTCAATGTTAAATCCAGGGAACTCCTTGGCCTATAATTTTGATGATCTTAATCTTTATATCCACAAAGTGCCAACACATGACAATCATCTGACAAATATGTTGAAGGAGGTTGATCATGACGATTTTTTTTTCACGTCTGATCAACAGAATCCAGGGGGGTGGGGGGAAAGTGCTAACTTGGGCACCCCTGAATGGATAAAAAAGTTATTCTAGTTCAATAAGCCATATAGGGCATTCTGCAATCGTCTTATTCCCATTCTAGAACTTTTTATCAATATATTCGCAATGGATGAACTACCATTGTAAAGCTTCTGTGAAATAGAATATATGCCATACTATTCCTGTTAACACAGAGTCAAACATTTAATGACCTACTGTTGAGATGAAGACATATTTCTTACACTTGCTACTGCATTGCCACAGAAAATGTGCCATATTTCTTTATTTACATGATTTAACATATCATCTCACACAAACTTTACCAATTATTATTATTATTTTTGGACATTTTGGTAACACACAACTTCCACTTCTATTCTAATTTATTCCAATCCATCCTCACCATGATTTCCATCACATTCTGGATATATATCACAACGTAATTTTAACTTTTAAACCATTAATGTGTATGCTTATATGCTTACTTCAATATTTAAGACACAAGTCACATCAATTAGCATTTTTATGTGTGTAAATAGCCAATATAACATATGTAAGTAAGAAATTACTGGTACATGCACTGAAATTAACATTAACATACATATTACTAGGTTAAGAGTTGGAATTATATTGTTAATTCTGCTCCATATATTTTGACTATTACAGGTATGCCTTATATACATGTACTTGATGACCTAACTCAATTATCCTGTAAGTTGCAATATTTCCCAGGCAGAGGCTATCAAGAATGGACAAAAGTATATATAGCTCCAACAAATACATAAACTAAGGTTCACACTTTATTTAAACTGTATCATGAACAAAATATAATGTGTCCACTGGTTGCTAACAACAAAAAGTTAATGTATTAATGATACCGATATGATACAAATTATATATATGATCATAAACAATTCTCAAATCTTTGTTGGGAAGATAGTTCGATTATGTTTTATATTGATGAAAATGTATTCTAATTTCAAACAAATAATCTTTGTATTATAAATAAAATCAACATTTTTTTTCTCAGCTCAACACTAATTTAATATTCACTTCACATTTTTCTTGTTTTTATCTGTCTACAATGTACATTTTTAATAACGTTTATTTTGTAGACACAAGATTCTATATATTTATCATATTTTATCCTTCCTCATCTGGTGGTATTCCTAATTCTTCATCTGTCCATTTAGAAGTGTCTGGAAGAACATAATGCCCCTAAAACATAAAAAACAAGCCAACAGTGAGGCTGATGTCCCCCGCTGAAATCCCAAAATAAATAGATGACACATATTAATTAATCGCACATTTATTATTTTCAAAGTATCGAGCAATCAAACTATATACTAAGTTTCATCACTCTCTATCAGATAGATTATCTTGTCCCAAAGCATCAACGAATGGAATTGATTAGCTCTGCATAACTTCAGCTCGAAATGTTAATCATTGAACTCAGTCAAGACATTCACCTTATGAACATCTACATCAAGTTTAAAGGAGCTAAGTCGCTAATACTTGGGACCTAGAAATTGACACAAATGGGTCGCAACGCATACAATAATGGAATAATGTAATATGAATGAATATAAATTGATTTACATTCAATCATTTCTGTTTTAACTGTAATTTTTAATCAGTTAGGTTCGGAGAAATACGCCAGTATTCTCAATCGAATTTCAATCTCTAGCCTCTGGTTATTCCAGTCTACGCCAATATTATTTATTGGGCTTGCTCTCCAGATAAGAATATAGCGTCATCGTCTGACATGACTTGTGGAATATGCCTAGCCTCGTTTTTAGAGTCCCTTATTACAAATAGCGCTGAAACGCATTATGATACACGATTCGTGTACCAATTATAAAATGTTTATTTTGTCTTAAATATTGGATATCAGAAGACCATCTTTTCCCGGTAAGATCACAACATCAATGTTGATTTAAACCAACAAATAAATCGTGTTTTCAATGTCGAAGATTTTGGATGATATTAAAAGCAGAGTTGTTATGTTCCAAAGTCTTGACCAATCAAATTGCTTATTGTTCCTTAGCCTAAGCAGAAAATTCTCACCATCGAACTCTGTCAAAGTAATGATATAATGAATCTATATTCGGAGTTTCATTGCTTCCACTTCATTATAACCAAAGTTATCATGCCCCAAAGCATCAACCAATCAGAATCAGAATCAGATTGCTTATCTCTGCTTACCGTAAGCAGACAATGTTCATCATCGAACTCATCAAGGCATTCACCTAATGAATGCCTACACAAAGTCTGAACACTCTACCTCAGTTAGAAGGAGTTATTGTGTTCTAAAGTCTCGACCAATCAAATTGCTTATCGCTCTGCTTACCCGAAGCAGAAAATGTTCATTATCAAACTTAGTCATGGTATTGATGTAAAAAAAAGCTATACACCAATTGTCCTTACTCTTACTTAATTAGAAATAAAGTTATCGTGTGCTAAAGCATCAAGCAATCAAATTGCTTATCACTGCTTACCCGAAGCAGAAAATCCTGATCTTCAAACTCCATAAAGGCATTCATCTAATAGACACCTACACCAAGTGTGAACATTCAAACTCAATTAGAATGAGAGTTATTGTGTTCCAAAGTCTTGACCAATCAAATTGCTTATTGCTCTGCTTACCCTGAGCAGAAAATGCCCATATTCGAACTTAGTCAAGGTATTGATGTAATGAAACTATACACCAAGTTTCATCACTCTCACTTTATTAGAACTAAAGTTATCGTGTCCTAAAGCATTAACCAATCAAATTGCTTATCTCTGCTTACCCTAAGCAGAAAATGACCATCTTCGAACTCCATCAAGGTATTGACCTAATAAATACCTACATCAAGTTTGAACATTCTAGCTCAATTAGAAAGAGAGTTATAATAGTGTGTTCCAAAGTCTCGGCCAATCAAACTTCTTATGGCTCTGCTTCCCCTGAGCAGAAAATGCTCATTATCGAACTTAGTCAAGGTATTGATGTAATGAAACTATACACCAAGTTTCATTACTCTCTCTAAATTAGAACTAAAGTTATTGTGTCCCAAAGCATCAACCAATCAAATTGCTTATCTCTGCTTACCCTAACCATAAAATGCTCATTTTCGAACTCCATCAAGGTAAGGACCTAATGAATACCTATATCAAGTTTTAACATTCTAGCTCAATTAGAAAGAGAGTTATTGTGTCCCAAAAAGTGTGACGGACAGACAGACAGACGAACCCATTTTAATAGTCCCCTGCTTTCTTTGAAAGGTGGGCGACAAAAAAAACATGGAAAATAATCAATAATGATATTAGTGATTGAAGCCACGAAGTCTTAACTTTATAAAGCAGAATTCATGACATAATACTAACTTTTAACCTGGTAATATACTAATACGTATAAACGCTTACTTCAATGCATCTAACTTCTTACTTAAACATACATTATGCAAGAGCTAAATCTGCCAATTGCAGGTCTTTCTTTAGCCCTGAAATGTTATCTAAATTATTAATTAGACATTAACTTATCCAGAAAATAATCAACTCTCATTGTCATCGCTAGCCTGCAATATTTACTGGATTAGAATCTGGTCTGCTGCTGCTGATTAATCAAACGAGAGCATTGCTAACGCTGCAATATATGTCCACATTCCAGCTTTGATTGATATGGTACTTTTTAAAATGAAATGAAATGAAATGGGGTTTAACGTCCTACTGTTTTGCTCCGACCTGGGCTAATGAAGACGGGCATACGCCATACAGTGTGCTATGAGGGAAATTTTGCCCGGACAGCGGCACTACGGCCTACTCTTATATCGAATTCCAACTGTCTAGGGATCTTTTATGTGCACGCCAATGTGTACACGGGACCTCGGTTTTTCGTCTCATCCGAATGACTAGACAGCTGTCCTTGTCAGGCCCTCCGTCCTGCATCACTGACAAGGGGAAACCATGCCGGAAAATCTGGATGAACTTTCTCGGCCAATGCAGGGATCGAACACCCGACCTCCAGGCTAGCGAGCCAGCGCCTTACCCACTTAGCCACCGTGATCCCCACTTTTTAAAATGAAGAGAATGAAATATGAAATGGCTGTAATATGACAAGAGACAAAGAAGGCTACAGAGAAAATATTAACAAAAAAGTGGGTATGACACTGCCCCAGGATGTTGGGGCAAGCACCAAAATAAATAGTTGCTGTCTGTACGGTATAAGGAATAAATATGCGAAGTTCCAAGATGATCCATTCAGAATTGCTGCCTGTAGATGATAAATACAAAAAATGGGTGTGGCTCTGCCCCTGGGGGTTGGATATGGAACAATATAAATAGGTACCACCCTGTTACTGAAATGACAACATCAATAGTTGTCGTCCTTAGGGTATACTATAAGGAATAAGTATACCAAGTTCCAAGATAATCAATTCAGAATTGTGGCCTTTGGGCGATAAAGGCAAAAATTGGGCGTGGCTCGGCCGGGGCATTCACCAAAATCAATAGTTGACGCCCTTAGGCTATAAGGAATACATATGCCAAGTACCAAGTTGATCCATTCAGAATTCCGGCCTGTAAACGATAAACACAAAAATTGGGCGTGGCTCTGCCCCTGGGGGTCGGGACATGCAATTGTCGTCCTTAGGCTATAAGGAATACATATCTCAAGTTCAAAGAAAATCCATTAAGAATTGTAGCCTGTAGGCGACACACAGACATACAAAAAGAAATGGAGCGTTGCTCTGCCCCTGGGGGTTGGGCAATCACCCAAAAAACAATAGGGGGCATCCTAATGTATAAGGAATAGGTATGCAAAGTTTCAAAAGGATCTGTTAAGAATTGCGGCCTGTAGGCGATAAACAAACAAATACAAGAAATGGGCATGGCCCTGCCCCTGGGAATCGGGCACGCACCAAAAATAACAGGGATCATCCTTAGGGTATAAGGAATAAGTATGTTAACTTTTAAGATGATCACTTAAGAATTGTGGCCTGTAGGCGACACACAGACACACAAAAAGAAAATGGGCGTGGCTCTGCCCCTGGGGGTTGGACATGCATCCCAAACGATAGGGATGTTCCTTAACGTACAAAGAATTAGTATGCAAAGTTTCACGATGATACGTTAAGAAATGCGGCCTGTAGACGACAAACAAACAAATACAAGAAATGGCTGGGGATCGGGCATGCACCAAAAACAATAGGGATCATCCTTAGGGTATATGGAATAAGTATGTAAAGTTTTAAGATGATCACTTAAGAATTGTGGCCTGTAGGCGACACACAGACACACACACAGACAGGGGCGACGGCAATATTGTAAAAATGGATAATCGTGACTACGTTTTTTTATCGTACTGACTTTAGTAATGATGATCTAGGCTAGGCCCAAAATCCAATCGCTAAATTCTTGGTTCAGGGTGGATCAATCTAGTTTTTAACTATTATAGTGAGAACTGCCAGCTCTTTATCTAATCTCCCATAATGTATCATTAAGTAAATTGTCAAATACTCAAACCAATAAATGGTAATTGCATGCTTTTCTACATTGTTAAGATTACTTCAGACACTGCATAACAGCTATTAGTTACAGATCTCCATAATCTATATACCGATATATGTGTGTGTGTGTGTGGGGGGTGTATGTATGTTTGCCCATCTCGCTTCGTCACCGTAATCCACCCCCCACATGTGGTATCAAATTAACCAGCATGGCCCTGTGAATGTTTTAGGCCATGATTTACGAAGGTCAAGGTCACAGATCTTGGGCCCCGGGTATCCTGTTTGTTACTAATAAATGTTAAAATTGAATAATTTTTTAATAGCAATCAAGCTACTAATTTCCATACTCACAATTATATGTTCTGGTTCGCGGTACAACCCATATAAAATCCAATACCATAGAAAAAACCCAATAAAATTGCAATAAATATTAGTTTTATTATCTACTACTGTTTTCTTTCTATAACACCATCTGTAAGTAAACAAGATATAAAAGTAAGAAATAAACCTCAAAGTATAAGGAATATTGCAGTTGAAAATTGAATTATTTATTTTGTACGAAAGTTGGTTTTATGAAAAGGTTACTTCCTATATTGAATTTTATTTATTAATGAAGTTTCATCTGAAATTTATATAAACCAGTGCCCAGCAGTTGCCAGGCAAAATACACCCACATATTGCAAGAGATGGATAGAGAACAAGCTAAAAACAAAAGCAATTTTTCGTACAATCAGGGGCCATAATCCAGAAAGATATGGTTTAAAATGCGCAAATATCGAAAGGGACTGAGATCTTTGGGACATAAACATATATTTTAAGTTTCATCAAAATCGGATAAAAATTGTGACCTCTAGAGGGTCCACAACTATCGTATTACATACTTTTACACAATTTGCGTACAAAGAGCGGCCATTTTGTCAGACAGTTTCTTATTCGATTTTTCCGAAATTCAACCTTCATTATGGTGGAATGGTGATATATTTAAACGGTTTTTAAAATTTGATAAAAAAAATTGACCTCTAGAGAATCCACAAGCTAAAAAAACACTATTTTTCCAACAATCAGGATTCAGGGGCCATAATCCATACCAGATATGCACAAGTAGCGAAAGGAACCGAGATCTTTCGGACATTAACATATATTTTCATAAAAATCTGATAACATTTGCAACTTCTAGATATGATCCGATATGAACCGATATGCCCAAATATGGAATGGAACCAAGATCTTTGGGTTATAAACATGCATTTCAAGTTTCATCAAAATCGGATCAAAATTGTGACCACTAGAGGGTCCACAACCATTTGTCATTTTGTCTAGCAGTTTTGGTCAGATTTTCATGAAATTTGAACTCAACCAACAATACGGTGTAACGGTGATATATTCGAACGTTTTTTTAAATCAGATAATTGTGACCTCTAGAGAAACCACAAGCTAAAAACACGATTTTTCGTACAATCAGGGGACATAACATCCTCGGTTACCCAGTGTACTCATTCCGTTCTACTCCACTATACCTGGGTTAATCTATGGGGAAGACACATTTTCAAGTTATCCGCCCTTGATGATTGTGCTATTTTTATCGACCAATCCCATAAATTGTTATTTGAAAAGGAAGTTGGCAAATGGAAGTAATACTCATCAGACAATGTAAGGAGTTGGCCTATTCTAAATGCGTAATTATTAAAAACCAATTATTAATGAAGACCAGACGTTCATATAACTAATGTAGGGTCATTAGTTTTATTGAGAATCGTTTGTTCGTTCCCGGAATTTTATAAAAGTCAAACATATGTTATACATATTTGAAATCAACAACACATACTACAGATTTTGATAATACAATTAAATATAAATATAAATATATACATTATTTACATAAATCATTCAGTAAATGAACAGGTATAGTGGAGTAGAATGGAATGAGTACACTGGGTAACCGAGGATGGGGACATAATTCAGGAAGTTACAATCCGATATGCAAGAATATCGAAAGGAACCAAGCTCTTTGGGGTTATGAACACGCATTTCAAGTTTCATGAAAATCAGATCAAAATCGTGACCTCTAGAGGCTTCACAACCTTGATATACCATATTTTTACACTAGTAGCGTACGAGGGGCAGCCATTTTGTCCGGCAGTTTTGGTTCGATTTTCACGAAATTCAAACTCCACCATCATTACGGTGTAACGGTGATATATTCAAACGTTTTTTTAAATCAGATAATAATTGTGACCTCTAGATGGACCACAAGCTAAAAATGTGATTTTATGTACAGTCAAGGGCCATAATTCAGGAAGTTACGATCCGATATGCGCAAATATTGAAAGGAACCAAGATCTTTGGGTTATAAACATGTATTTCAAGTTTCATTAAAATCGGATAAAAATTGTGAGCTCTGGGGGGTCCACAACCTTGATATACCATATTTTTACACTATCAGTGTACCGTCATTAAGGCATAACGGTGATCATTGTGATATAAACATAAATTTAAAGTTTCATCAAAATCGGATCAAAAATGAGGGGCAGCCAATTTGTCCGGCAGGTTTGGTCCGATTTTCACAAAATTCGAACTCAACCATCATTAGGGTGTAACAGTGATATATTCACACGTTTTTGGGTTTTTTTTAAATCGGATAAAAATTGTGACCTCTAGAGAGACAAGTTAAAAACACGATTTTTGTAAAATCAAAGGCCATAATTCCGGAGATTACGATCCGATATGCGCGAATATCGAAAAAGAACCAAGATCCTTGGGTTATAAACATGTAATTAAAGTTTCATCAAAATCGGATCAAAATTGTAACCTCTAGAGGCTTCACAACCTTTATATACCATATGTTTACACTATTTGTGTACGAGGGGCGGTCATTTTGTCCGGCAGTTTTGGTCTGATTTTCAAAAAATCCATAGGCTTGTTCGTCTCATGACCTTAAACACTGTGTATAAATTTAAAGTCAATCGGATATTAACTTTGGCCTCTAGAGCGTTCACAAGATTTTTTTGAAGTGATCAAGAGCCATAACTCTGGCAGTAATTATCAGAAATCACTGAAAATGAATTGGCTTCTTCATCTCATGACCTTAAACACTGTGTATAAATTTAAAGACAATTGGATATTAACTTTAGCCTCTAGAGCGTCCACAAGATTTTTTGAAGTGATCAAGGGCATTAACTCTAGCACTAATTATCAGAAATCGTTGAAAATGCTCATTATCGTACTTATTCAAGGTATTGATGTAAAAAAACTATACACTAAATTTGATCAATCTCATTTAATTAGAACTAAAGTTATCGTGTCCCAAAGCATCATCCAATCAAATTGCTGATCTCTGCTGACCCTCAGCAGAAAATGCTCATCTTTGAACTCCATCAAGGCATTGACCAAATAAACACCTACACCAAGTTTGAACTTTATAGCTCAATTAGAAGAAGAGTTATTGTGTCACAAAAAGTGTGGCGGACAAACAGACGGACGGACGGACGGACAGATGAACCCATTTTAATAGATAAGGATCATCATAGTTGTTTAGCATAGTCTGGTCTGGATTTGATATAAATTTAGAGAAAACCAAAGTTGGCTATAGGTACTTCTGTAGATTGCAAGGCCTATAAGGCCATCCTAAACACACAGTTACGTTATTGTCGTGACTTGTAATACTATTAACTATATAGTGAAATGCCAAAACTTTAGGCAGCAAATATATACACGTTTTATAACTGGAGCAGTATGTCTATAGTAGGCGAGGCCACCACATATTATGTTCCTTTCAACTAGTAAAATAGAGAAAACATGCAGAGATTTTCTTTATATCATGATGATTTAATTTGTAGGATGTGTGGCTAGTGCTCCCTTGCTGTCGGGCTTCTGATTGCACTCCCAACACTGGCAAATGACAGGGTTCAGTTTTTTCCCCATGTACATCAGTAACACAACAATGAAGAAAAGCCAAGACTAAGAGGTGACAAGTTTGATCCTGTTGCAGTAATCCGCATCCACATTATCAACACAATGTCCTTTCGATATTTTGTGAAAGAATGCACTTCAAGATTGTAGATACCGGTAAGTAATATTCAAAAGTATTAATAAAATAGTATTTATTTAAAAATACATGTAACATGTACAGTGTTTACATCTAAATGACTAGATATAATTATGCAAACAGTTTTACAATGTATGTTCTGAATCAAAAGGTAACAGACTTTGCAGAGAATAAAATTGTGAAATCACATGTTAAATTTCTTTGTAAGAGTTTGAAGAATTAATGTATATGTGGTTAATTTAGATTATTTATATTAAGCAAAATACCGTAGAGGGGTGTCAGGCAGTGTCTGGTCAGATCTGTTACCCACCTATACCCATTGTTTCATAAATTAAGTACGCTTACCTAAGATGAGAGTTTAATATTCAACCAGCACTAAAGGATTAAATTGAACAATACGAGCAATTAAGCCCTGAAGCTGGGGCTATCTAAGTCACGTGACAACTCTTAGCCAATCATCTGTAGAAGATGAGCACAATAGTTCACTGTCTTTAAATAGGCATGCTGAGCGGGAAATCAATACATTCCAACTTAGCAGACTATAGACTTTCTCTTCTTTTATTTTAAAGGTAAGTGCGTAGATCGTTATATGCTAGTCCTCATGAGTTAAATATATGTATGTAATTTATATGTTCTATGCTTGTATTTTTATTTTATTCCACAAATACGCATATAGATATATCTTATGTATACATGCGCTATATATTTGTATTCCCCCAAATATTTGTATCGTTCTACGAATATTCAGGGGTGCAGGCTGTTTCATAACCTGGCTGTTTCGTACTTAGTTCATTCGTACCCTTATGAAAAAGTCCTATAGAAAAAGTACAGGTGTCTATAGAAGTTTGTGGGATTCTATAGAATGCTGCAGGAAAACGAATTCATTCTGTAGTTTTTTTCACATGACTATACATTCAAAGATAGGTTGCCAGGCAACGAAACATACCCCACAGCAGCTAAATCGTCCGGGCAGTCAACAAGTGTTGTCGCATATTTTTTACTTTTTTTTGGTAAAGAAACATTTATAATACACGAAAATCTGATTAAGAGTAACAACTCATGAAGTAATTATCAATCTGAAGTCAATCGGATGATAACTTTAGCCTCTAGGGCGTCAAAAGTTTTTTCAAAGTGATCAAGGGCCATAAGTTTGGCAGTAATTATCGGAAATCGTTGAAAATCAATGGGATTCTTTGTCTCATGACCTCAAACACTGTGTATAAATTTAAAGTCAATTGGATATTAACTTTAGCCTCAAGAGCATCCACAAGATTTTTTGAAGTGATCAAGGGCAGTAATTATCGGAAATTGCTGAAAATCAATACGCTTCTTCGTCTTATGACCGTAAACACTGCGTATAAATTTAAAGTCAATCGGATATCAACTTTGGCCTTTAGGGCATCCACAAGATTTTTGAAGTGATCAAGGGCCATAACTCTGGAAGTAATTATTGAAAATCGCTGAAAATGAATAGACGTCTTCGTCTCATGACCTTAAACACTGTGTATAAATTTAAAGTCAATCGGATATTAACTTTGGCCTCTAGAGCGTCCACAAGATTTTTTTGAAGTGATCAAGAGCCATAACTCTGGCAGTAATTATCAGAAATCACTGAAAATGAATTGGCTTCTTCATCTCATGACCTTAAACACTGTGTATAAATTTAAAGACAATTGGATATTAACTTTGGCCTCTAGAGCGTCCACAAGATTTTTGAAGTGATCAAGGGCCATAACTCTGGAAGTAATTATTGAAAATCGCTGAAAATGAATAGACGTCTTCGTCTCATGACCCTAAACACTGTGTATAAATTTTAACTTTGACTTCTAGAGCATCCACAAGATTTTTCAAAGTGATCAAGGGCCATAACTCTAGCAGTAATTATAGGAAATTGCTGAAAATCAATAGGCTTCTTCGTCTCATGACCTTAAACACTGTGTATAAATTTAAAGTCAAACAGATATTAACTTTAGCCTCTAGAGCGTCCACAAGATTTTTTGAAGTGATCAAGGGCCATAACTCTAGCAGTAATTATCGGAAATCGCTGAAAATCTATAGGCTTCTTCCTCTCATGACCTTAAACACTGTGTATAAATTTAAAGTCAATTGGATATTAACTTTGACCTCTAGAGCATCCACAAGATTTTTTTAAGTGATCAAGGGCCATAACTATGGCAGTAATTATCGGAAATTGCAGAAAATCAATAGGCTTCTTCGTCTCATGACCTTAAACACTGTGTATAAATTTAAAGTCAATCGGATATTAACTTGAGCCTCTAGAGCGTCCACATGCAATCGTGGATGCCGGACCGACGGACGGGGGCCACAACAATATACGACCACATTTCAATGTGGGCGTATAAAAACATGTACTATAGTTTTGTGTAGGATTGATAGATGAATATTTTCTGAGTTTAATTTCCTACAGAATTCTATAGAATACTGTAAGAAACTATTGGAAAAAAAATAAATCTACAGATTCATTGGTGCTGCTATAGTTTTCTATAGAACTAACTTGTATCCTCGAGTCATTTGAGTAATCCTTCAGTTTTCTATAGCGTTTGTGGTAAAAACTATAGTTTGCTATAAAACTAACTTGTATTCTCATGTCAGCTGTAGTTCTTATAGATTTGGTGGTAAAACCTATAGTTTTCTATAGAACTAACTTATTGTCTCAAGTCAGTTGTGTAATCCTATAGTTTTCTATGACATTCTGACATTTTTTTCTATAGATTTTGTGGAGAAAGATATAATGCATGAGCCTTCTATATTTTTCTTTAGAATTTATATGTATACTGTACTTAAACCATTTTAACAAATAGCCTACTATATATAGTTTCCTACATAATAATGTAGTAACAATGTTCTATACTACAGATTTCATAAATTGGCCAGGTCTTTTATTTATACTATAGTTTACAACATAATTTAGTGATGCACTTGTATGTAATCTTTTCCTGGATGCCGTTTTCCTTAATTTATTGTGATACCAAATGACAAACTAAAATAAGCTTACCACGAAAAATACCAGCGGCTGCCAGGCAGGATACACCCACATTTTTCGAGAGATGGATAGAGAACAAGCTAAAAAGAAAGTGATTTTTCCTACAATCAAGGGCCATAATTCAGGAAATTACAATTCAATATGCGCAAATATCGAAAGGAACCAAGATCTTTGGGTTATAAACTTACATTTCAAGTTTCAACAAAATCGGATAAAAATTGTGACCTCTATAGGGTCCACAACCTTGATATACCATATTTTTACGCTATTTGAGAACGATGGGCGGCCATTTTGTCTGTCAGTTTTGGGCCTATTTTCACGAAATTTGAAATCAGAGGTCCTCAGAGTATAACAGTGATTTACTAAAATGTTCTTTTAAATCGGATAAAAATTATGATCTCTATACGGTCCACAAGCTAAAAACGCGATTTATCGTACAATCAGGGGCCATAATTCAGGACGTTACAGTCCGATATGCACGAATATCGAAAAAGGAACCGAGATCTGTGGGTTATAAACTTACATTTCAAGTTTCAACAAAATCGGAGAAAAATTGAGACCTCTATAGGGTCCACAACCTTGATATACCATACTTTTACGCTATTTGAGAACGAAGGGCGGCCATTTTGTCTGTCAGTTTTGGGTCAATTTTCACGAAATTTGAAATCAGCGGTCCTTAGGGTGTAACGGTGATATAATAATACGTTTTTTTTAAATCGGATAAAAATTATGACCTCTATAGGGTCCACAAGCTAAAATCGTGATATTTCGTACAATCAGGGGCCATAATTCAGGAAGTTACAGTCCGATTTGCGCGAATATAGAGAGCAATCGAGATCTTTGGGTTATAAACAAACATTTCAAGTTTGATCAAAATAGGATTAAAATTGTGACCTATATAGGGTCCACAACTTTGATATACCGTATTTTTACGCTATTTGAGAACAAACGGCGGCCATTTCGTCTGTCAGTTTTGGGACGATTTTCACGAAATTTGAACTCAGCCATCCTTAGGGTGTAACGGTGATATAATAATATGGTTTTTTCAAATCGAATAAAAATTATGACCTCTATAGTGTCCACAAGCTAAAAACGCGATTTTACGTACAATCAGGGCCATAATTCAGGATCTTTGGGTTATAAACATGCATTTCAAGTTTCATCAAAATCGGATCAAAATTGTGACCTCTAGAGTGTCCACAAGCTAAAAACGTGATTTTTCGTACAGAAATGAAATGAAATAAAATGAGGTTTAACGTCCTACTGTTTTGCTCCGAACTGGGCTAATGAAGACGGGCATACGCCATACAGTGTGCTATGAGGGAAATTTTGCCCGGACAGCGGCACTTGGGCCTACTCTTATATCGAATTCCAACTGCCAATGTGTACACAGGACCTCGGTTTTTCGTCCCATCCGAACGACTAGACAGCTTTCCTTGTCAGCCCCTCCGTCCTTCATCACGGACAAGGGAGAACCACGCCGGAAAATCTGGATGAACTTTCTCGGCCAATGCAGGGATCAAATACCCAACCTCCAGGCTAGCGAGCCAGCGTCTTACCCACTTAGCCACGTGATCCCCATTTTTCGTACAATCAGGGGGCCATAATCCATGAAGTTATGGTCTGATATATGCCAATATCTTAGGAAGATAAAGCTATATTTCAAGTTTCGTTGAAATCGGATAAAAATTGTGACCTGTAGAGTGTCCACAAACAAATTGTGGTCATCCGGACAGATGGACGGACAAACAGGGGCGACGACAATATACGTCCACATGAAAATTCTATAGAATTCTATAGTACCCATTCCTACAGAAAACTATAGTGACCCAATTTCCAAACTACAGAATACTACAGTATTCATTCCTATACATAACTGTAGAATTTCCTACAGAAAGTGCAAAAAAAAAAAAAACCTATAGAATACTATAGTATTTTCCTATAGAAATTTTGCCATAAATCAGTTGGAAAAACTATAGGATGTGCGCTACAGAAATTATAGAATATTTGGGGCCG